CCTGTTAGGAATAAGAACATATTTATGATTTAAGTCCTAAAATAGTCTGTGAAGAGTACACATTAAAAAAAAGTAATGCTTCTATGAATGCTTGAACTTGCGTGTAGAAAAAAATTATGCAATCCACTTTGGGACTATTTTTGCTTGAAAACAGCTGCTGAATTTAAACAGCCAGTCCACATTTGATACTGAATTAGCATAATTATTTCATAAATTTAGAGAAGATTCATATGTATGATATATGAGCACACTCTAAACCAGACAACCTTTTCCAGCTAAACATCCAAATGACACACCTGGGTCAGAGGCAGGCCACAGATGGACTCTAGGACTTGCCCCTGCCAGCACTTCTCCCCATGGCAGCACAGGGAGAGTACCTGTTGCCAAAATACCATCTCCATGAGCCAGGTCCAATGGTCCCATGAAGCTGACCCTCTTAACCTTTATACTTGGTACATAGTATCTTTGCACCTGGGCATTTTAAAAGAAAGGACACTTGGTTCAGTCACCAGAAAGCTAGCCAGAAGCAACTAAGCTCAGTCTGAGTAGAGGGAAGATGGGAAGGAAAGAGAGACAGTCTTCAATCTTCTAAAAGATACTTTGTAATCAGCATTCTGGGACACAATTTGAGACTGGGATTTCTCTTCCACCTGTCAGAAACTACTGACTATTATTACCACTCCACCAAAATAAAGTATACAGGAAGGGGAGGACCACTTGAGCATCACTGTGTTTTACTTTTAGCCAACCAGAGGAGCACCTCATCTGCAAAACATGATTAGCTATTCCAATAAGCATTTCTCTTTGTTACCTGTTCCTCCTCCTCTGCATCCCAAAAAACAAGCCTAGGAAATTCACTGAGAGAAAGCTTAATTCATTTTAGAGTTTAATTTAAAATGGAGTTGAAGAGTGCCTGATAGTACCGTCTTCCCTTCCAGAATACTGAATTATGAACTTGATAACCCAAAATTTCTAAAAATAAGGATACAATAGTAGTACCCTGCCCTTTTTGAGTAATGACCCAATCCAGACACTACACATAAACACACATTTTCCAGAACACTCAGGGAATAGGCCATAGGACTGGGGACCTACCTAAATCATGGTGGAAGTTCATGGTGCAGTGGCACTTTTAATCGTATTCTTTTTGCCATGCTCCTCCCCCACCCAAATGACCAAGAGGCAAAAACCACAACATTAATTGCCTCTCAGCCACTTAGTGGCTGGGGGAAGGGCACAGCAAAAATAGCAAAATTATAAGGTGCTGCTGCACCACAAACTTCTGCCATGATTTAGGTAGGTCCTGACACGACTCCTGTTAAGAGCCCAATGCCTTTTCTTTGCCAAGGCTAATTTTACATTTAGGTGACCTATTTTGAACAGAAACTAGCTACCTCTACTCTACATTCAAGTACTGAAGCCAGTCCACAACCCCAATGCCATCCTGATTTTACAATCCCTTCACCCTTACACGCAGGTTTTTATTTAATGTTACACTTCCACATACCAATAAGTCAAGGGTGTCAAACTCAAAGAAAGGAGACATAGGGCCAGGCCATGGGTCAAACTGGACCCAGAGACTGGCCTTGTGCATGTCCTGGAGTAGTCAGAGTGGGTGCCACAGGCAGTGCAGTTCTGCTGCAGCCACTCCAAGGCTGTGCTGCAGCTTGGGAAGCGCTGGCCAAGGCCACCCCATCCTGACCACTTCAATCACTTCCTCCACGTGTGATAAAGACAAAACAGCTGGTGCAACTCAGATGGCTGCTCACACCATCCCTGCTCCTGCCCCTGGAGCCCCAGAGGGGCTCATTGGTTGGATGGAAGTCCTGCCTGCCTCCCACAGGGCCAGGGGCACAGTGCCCAGACAGGGAAACAGGAGCTGAATGAATGAACACAAGCAACTACTAGCATGCAGCACTACCTTCCCTGCAACTGCCCCCTGCTTCAAACACATGGTGCAATGACCCAAGGGGATTGTGGGGAACCTCAGCCTCTCTCCTCCTCAGGTGCCCTCTGCAGACACCCCATGCCACATCCCATCTGCAATGGAGGGTTCCTTATAGGCTCTGTTGTATGGCCCAGTGCCCCACCCTGTGCTGTCCCTGTGCTGTTACTGCCCCACAATCCTGGGGTCCCCAAGGAGACCAGCTGGGAGCTGCACAGACAGGGCACATGGGCAGGAATATGGGATGTGTCCATAGACAGGTGGACAGTTGCATCTGGGGCCAGGGCCCAGGGAAGAGCCGCAATCTGCTTCTGATGCACTCCTGCTCATGGAACCCACATCCATTGCTTGGCCATGTGGGCAGCAGATCGTAGCTCTGCCTCAGGCCTTGTCCCCACTCTGTCACCAACCCAAGACCCTGTACCATGATCCCATCCTTGTCACTATCCCTCAAGCCCATCCCACTCCCAAAACCTGCAGCTCCATTCCACATATGGAGTTTTGGTGAGCTGCTGTGCATGGAAAGGCAGGGGAGGTGCTGACCCAACCCATGACAGCTCAGCAAAATTTCCTATGTGGCCCACGGGCCCAAATAATTGCCCACCCCTGTCTTAGAGGCTGGGGACCATACACCGCAGGGGGCCACAATACCAAGGCCACAGCCCTCCCTCACTTTCCTGGCTACAAGCTGGGGGCAACTCCCCCACCCCAACTGTTGTACCATGTACATGGGGACCACCACTGCAGGCTGCATGGGTCCACCCTGCAGTGCCCTGCCCCTGGCAAGAAAAGGGAGGGGAGCCCACAGATTCTGGAGCAATGAGGGAAGTAGTGACAAGGAAGAGCCCAGGGGCACAGATTAACCCTTCATGTGCCTCCTATGGCCCACAGCCTAGCAGTTAGACAGCCCTAGACTAGATCACCCCTGGAGGTCCCTTCCAACTCTACTTTCCTACAACTTTGTGATTCATTCTTCAATAATAGCTGCACTGTGAACACAGCCTAAGTAGATGCTGATAATTCCCAGTCACTACTGACAGTTCCAGGGTGGAAAAGTTAAAAATACACAGAAAGGTTTGATTTTTGCTGAACCAATGTTCTGGATGGGCAGAACATGGGCAACCTAACCTCTGTGTAATGAAGTTGCTAGTCCTTTCACTTTCTAATCTAAGCATTTGCAAACATAGCTTTTCAAGATAAACTAATAAAATCCACTTTTCCCAGTTTCAAAATAGCTTCAATATCTCTTCTGTGGTTAGCCTGTAGTTAGCAGCAAAATGAAACAAATAAGACTGGTCATTTTCTCTTCTCCTTTTAATTAGGGGTGCACCAATAAAGATTTTCTTGGCTGATACCGATAGCCAATTATTCACCATCAGCCAGTACCACCCCGATAACTAATTTACAGAAATACAGCAAGGCAGCATGGAGAACAGCTCCCTGCAGGTATGTCTGTAGAAGGGAAGGGGCATGGGAGGGGCAGACCAAGGCCCCAACGGTGAGGGAGGGAGTGGGGCAGGGGGCTGGGGGTACTGCCTAGTGAGGGCAGTGAATGGGACCCTGGCGCTGGGGCAGGGAGAGGGACAGAGCTGCAGGCAGCTTGTCTGGGGTGGGGGTGGGGGGTCAGTTTCCCGGTGCTTAAAAATGGCAGCAGCAGTGCTTGAACTAAAGCTTGTCAAATGAGCTTTAGTTCAAGCGCTGCCTCTACCATTTTTAAGCACAGAAATAGAGCAGAGCCAAGTGGGGCAAGGGTGAAGATGGGCTGCCTGCTGTGGGCTCAGGGCTCTCCGCCCTGCTGTCTTTGTTCCAGGAGCCACACGCTGGCTGCACGTCCTCTGCCCACGCAGCAGCAGGAGACGCAACTCGCTTTCCTTACTGCTGCCAGGTGGGCAGGGGATGAGCACCTGTACACAGCTGCCAGGGCAAAGGCAGCAGAGCACAGAGCCCCAAACTCGCACCTCTGAGGGTGCACACATCCATGTGCACATGTGCGGCTGCACACATGCACATGGCATCCAGAGGGGCCCTGGCCAGAAGATGCATTATATTTATTGGTGACATTATTGGCTACACTGGCCAAAAAAAGCTGATGTTAATTTTCCCCTTATCAATGCCAATCTGATATGGCACCGATATATCGGTGAACCTCTAACTTTCAATTACTTTCTAAATCTTCAGAATCATGTCAAATTTACACTGCCAGTTAGGAGGTACAAGCAACAGACGAGATTATATATCTAGAAGGAAAAAGCCAGGGAAAAATTAGGTTTGGAGTGGAACAGATTAATAAAGATCGCATTTTCTTTCCCTTAAACTTGAACCAATTATGAGGCATAAAGACACAGTAAAGCAACCCTCACAGCTACTAAGAAGTTGGACAGCCCTGATCTAGTTGAACCCCTACTGGAGGCAGACACAAACGCCCACTTAAACAGGAGAAATTTCCAAGTTTGCATCAAGGAAAAATGTTAAACAAACTCTCCCATTCCAGCAAAAATAACAGTTTATATAGCCTCAACTTTACCAAGTAACTATGATCAGAGCCCTATGGAAAGTCTCTGTAATAATGCCTAGGAATAAAATCCAGTAAAAATTATCCTGTGTTCCCACTATGTAGCCGTAAGTGTCATTACTAGGACCACTCTCTTTCCTGGTCATGTCTAACTCTAGTTAGAACTAGTAAGTATATTTTCAATTTCAGTCCAAGAGCCACAAAGTTTATTTCTGAATTCCAGTCATTTTTTTAATAAAAAACTCAAAGCATAACAGAAATCTTGATTTATAAAGCTACTCTTAATCCAAAATGTATGAATGTCACTCAATATCAATGCAGGTTTCTCTTCTGACTTCATAAACATATGGCATTCCCATCCTCTCCAATCCAAGAGTGCTGTGCAGCTCAGGTTTCAGTGCTCATTGTATTTTAGCCTTTAAAATAGCACACTTTGTTCAAAGTAGGTTATTTAAACAGTAACTCTGTTTTGTACTCGTTTTTTTGTTTTTTTAATTTTAACCTAGGCAGTTTGCATCACTCAATCCAAGTCAAATACATTACTTTGAAAAGATCAAGGGGTCTCAACAGATAAACTGCGATGGATTCTCTGCCACGTTCCGCTCCCTTTGCTCTACTGGTGAGAAGAAGCTGGTGAGAAGAATTACCTTCAAATCTTCTGCCAGAATCCCTGCAAAAAGTGGAGCAAAAACAAACTGCTTCATTCCTTCCTATGGCACAGAGAGTAGTACACCAGATGTGGCTGGACTGCACTGCAGCGGAAACCCAGTGGCTAAAACTAAGTACTGGATCTCAGGTATTTTTTTTTTTTTTTTTTTTTACCA